AAATTAAAATTTTGAGTTTTTGGGGTTGTAATAGTGGAATAGTACCGTAAAATGGTTATATTCGATACCGAACTAGTGTTATGGAAAGCTTTCAATAGACTTATTCATCAAAGTATGTGATTCGTGCCTTTCCTTTCTTTTTAAACCAGGCAGCTACGCACGCTAATGCGCGCGCTGGGGGCTCTAGTCATAAGGGGCGAAGCCACATAAGCTCCTGATTTTCATTATGGACCTTCATAATCTGAGCCTCTTCCCTGATACTTCTGCAGCGGCCATCATTTTTTTGGGATGTGAAATGGGGCTGTATGTGGCCATGAAGAGTACTCCGATGTATTCAGGTCAAATACTTCTGCAGTCTATGTAGTCGAAGAAACTCTGTATAGTTTGAGCTTGGCCATAAAAACGAAATCGAAGCCCTTTTGGGTAGTTGTAGGGATTTACACGTTTCTACAGGGTCTGCACTGTGTGGCCGGAGTTATTGTAGGTCCCGACTTCTAAAGGTGATTCTGTGGTAAAACCGGACTACATGACACACGACAAACAAACAAACAAACAAACATGCATACATACAAACACGCCAAACTTGTGGATTATATATTTTGCATCATTTTTTACCCTTTCCCAGAGAATCATGTCGTAAGCTATCCTTCGTAGCATCAGAACAAAATATTTTTTGCCTATACCTGTTGTCGTTCCAGTTTATTATCAGCGAATCTGGATTCTTGGAATGGAATGTAGGTTTTAATCGAAACCAGCCGTAGTTCCTCTTGTCCGCCTTCTGGATATTCTCATTCCTATGCTCCATTGAAGTTGTAACGAAAATCTATTTACGTTCCCACTGTTTATTCGCATCAGTCACAGCCGCCATTTGAAGAATATCACTTGAAAGTTTAGGTGAAATACATCTCACGCGACTGGATACGTAGGCGAAAGCTCAGTGAAATAAAACTTTATTATGAAAGCAAAGCTAAAATTTATTCGGCTTAGTTCTGGAATATATCACTAATTCTTCTCTTAAATGGCAAGCGAAAGGGCCGTGGTGAAGTAATCGATGAGAGCGGCGAAAGCAACCTTAAATAGTAAAGCACAATAGGTCTAATCGGCATACGTATCAAACAATTAACACTTACCAAAGAGAATAAGGAGTTTTATACGATAGTCGTCCTATACGTCTCATACGACAGGAGCCTGAAATGGGAACTTACAGTAAGTCTAAGTAGAAGTATTATAATTTATTCAGCTCGCCATATAGTATTCCTGAAGGTGGTCTAGTAATTTGAAGGTGATGGTTGCGATATAACGAACCTGAAGTTGGTTATTAAAAAAGAGCCAAAATAGCAGATTTATAGATTAATGAACTCACTTTCCATAGAAGAGTTTTCAAGAGGTTGCAGAGGAAGTGGACAGCATGGGAGCTTGTGAAGCAACCTCAAATAATATAGTACAACAATAGCAATCAGTAGACATATCATCTCTCTTACACTAAAATAGCATTATAGGAACTGAAGAGGAAACGGAGAGTGCAAATAGGATACTTAGCGAACATCAAACGAAAACCTACAGTAGTTTCAATAATAAGTTTTGATCAAAGACGAACCCTCTTTCTCTTTAAGATTTGTCAAGGACATGTAGTAGAGGCTTAGAGGATGCGAGCGATTGAAAACACCTGCAATGAAAACTCATATAGTTTCATAGTTCCAATTTGAAGTCCTGTCTATTGATGGAAATTCTCTTACCATCGATTTTCATGGAGTTGTAGAGCTGGCGGAGAGTACTGGAGCGAGCAATAGTACCCGAAAGGAAAACTTGCAGTTGTTTCAATAAGAAGTCTTGTACGGAGATGAACTCTCTTACCACTCAATATTTCGAGTTGCAGAAAAGTCGAAGAGGAAGGGGCGATCGAAAATATCTGAAGGAGAGCTCATAGTAGTTCTAATCATAAGTCTTGCCCAACGATGAACTCTCTCACCATTGAGGATTTTTCTGGGGCTTTAGAAGAGCAAAACAGCATAGCATCGATCGAAAGTACCTGGAAGGAGAACTTATAGTTTTTCGAAAAGGAGATCTTATAGTTTTTCATTCAGAAGTATTGCCCAATGGTGAAAATTCTCTTGCAGCTAAGTATTTTCTAGGGAGTTGTAGGGGGAGGCGTAGAGGATAGAAGCAGTTGTAGTAACCTGAAATGAAAACTCATAATTGTTCTAACTAAAAGTCTTTCACGATAATAAACTCTCTTACCATCGATAGTTTTCGAGGGAGTTGTAGAGGAGGCGATGAGGATAGGAGCGATCAAAATACCTAGAATGAAAGCTCATAATAGTTCTAATCATAAGTCTTGTCCAACCATGAACTCTCTTACCATTGAGGATTCTTCAGGAAGTTGTAGAGGAGGAGAACAGGATAGCAGCGCTGGAAACCTCCTGAAAGGAAAACTTATAAATACTCTTGCAATTAAGTGTTTTTTAGGAAGTTGTAAGGGAGGCGGAGAGGATAGAAGCAGTTGTAGTAAACTGGAATGGAAACTCATAGTACTTCTAACTATATGCCTTTCTACATGATGAAATTCCTACCATTGAGTATTTTCCGAGCAGTTGCAAAAAAGGCGAAGAGGACGGGGCGACTGAAAACACCTGAAATGAAAACTCATAGTAGTTCCAATAAGAAGTCTCGTCCAATAACGAACTCTCTTACCATAGATGATTTTTCAAGGAGTTGTAGAGGAGGCGAAGAAGGTAGCAGCGATAGAAACGACCTGGAAGGAGACCCTATAGTTTTTCCAATCAGAACCTTTCTCAACGATGGAATCTCTTAGCATAGGGGGTTCTCGAGGGAGTTGTAGAGAAAGAGGCGAGGATAGGAGCGATTGAAAGTACTTGAAATGAAAATTTTTAGTTGATCCAATCTGAAGTCTTTCGGAGGAGTACGTATAGCAAGTTGAAATGTGATTGTTTAAATAGAAAAAATGCAATGTGGTAATTCATACCTATCACAGTGGCCAGAGCTTTTAGAGTGAGGCTGTTTTGAGAATATTTAACTGTCTTGGCAGGACTACGTATGGCGGACTGAAAGTTATGGTTAGTTCAATAGAAAAAATGAGAGCAGTGATTCATAACTATCACAGTGGCCGTAGTTTTTAATTGGAGGCTTTCTTGAGATTTTTGATGTCTTCCGGAGGAGCATATGTTTCGGACTGAAAGTTATGGTTAATTCAATAGAAAAAATGAGAGTGGTGTTTTATACCTACCACATTCAGCAGAGTTTGAGATGGAGGCTGTTTTGAGATTTTTTGACGGCTACGGCAGGACTATCTATGAGGATCTGATAGCTGTGGTTGGTTCAATAGAAAAAATGAGAGCTGTGATTCATAACTATCACAGTGGCCGTAGTTTTCAATTGGAGGGTTTTTTTTGAGATTTTTCGCCGTCTTTCGGAGGAGCATATGTGGCGGACTGAAAGTTATGGTTAGCTCATTAGAAAAAATGAGAACGACGATTAATACCTACCACATTCAGCAGAGTTTGAGATGGAAGCTAATTTGAGATTTTTGACGGCTTTGGTAGGGCTATTCAAGGAAAAC